CCTCTCTCTCTCTCTCCCTCCTTCCCTCTCTCTCTCCCCCCCGTGTCTCTCTCTCTCTCTCTGTCTTTGTCTCTGTCTCTCTCTCTCTCTGGTTTTTCGAGACAGGGTTTCTCTACAGCTTTGGAGGCTGTCCTGGAACTCACTCTGTAGACCAGGCTGGTCTTGAACTCACAGAGATCTTCCTGCCTCTGCCTCCCGAGTGCTGGGATTAAAGGCTGGCTCATTTCTCTTGTTCCTTATGCTTGCATTTACGATGGGGACCAAGGTGGGGTGGAGCTCAGGAGCCCAGCACTTGCTTGTGTAGCATACAAAGGCTCTAGGCTCGATACCCAGGGCGAGGAGGAAAAAATACACAAACCAGGAAGCAACAGCGATCCTGCCTGATGCTTCTGCGTCTTGGCTGTCCTCTGATCTCACCCACTGCCACCCAGTCCACAGCAAAGCACTTCCTGTGGGCGAGATAAATCTCGGGTCTGCCCACTCCACAGCAAGGCACTTCCTGTGGGCGAGATAAGTCTGGGGTCTCCCTATCGCTGGGATTTTATCTCTGCCCGCAGCAGCCAAGAGGCTCAGTGTCAACAGTGCAGAGTGGGAGAGGAAGGCAGGCAGGAGAGGGAAAGCAAGAGCCATGGCTAGGAGGCGGCGGGGCAGATGCTCCACAGGGAAATTCAAGGAGAGGGGTCACAGAGACACTGAAGGTATTGCCAGCCCCCTGCACAACCTAGCTAGCTGAGGGGAAGAGCTAGATGAGGAGAGGAGGAGCTAACTGAGGAGAAGAGGAGCTGACTGAGAGAAGAGGAGCTGACTGAGAGAAGAGGAGCTGACTGAGAGAAGAGGAGCTAACTGAGAGAAGAGGAGCTAACTGAGAGAAGAGGAGCTAACTGAGAGAAGAGGAGCTGACTGAGGGGAAGAGGAGCTGACTGAGAGAAGAGGAGCTGACTGAGGAGAAGAGGAGCTAACTGAGAGAAGAGGAGCTAACTGAGAGAAGAGGAGCTAACTGAGAGAAGAGGAGCTGACTGAGGAGAAGAGCTAACTGAGAGAAGAGGAGCTAACTGAGGGGAAGAGGAGCTAACTGAGAGAAGAGGAGCTAACTGAGGGGAAGAGGAGCTGACTGAGGAGAAGAGGAGCTGACTGAGGAGAAGAGGAGCTAACTGAGGAGAAGAGCTAACTGAGAGAAGAGGAGCTAACTGAGGAGAAGAGCTAACTGAGAGAAGAGGAGCTGAGAGAAGAGGAGCTAACTGAGGGGAAGAGGAGCTGACTGAGAGAAGAGGAGCTAACTGAGAGAAGAGGAGCTGACTGAGGGGAAGAGGAGCTGACTGAGAGAAGAGGAGCTGACTGAGGAGAAGAGGAGCTAACTGAGAGAAGAGGAGCTAACTGAGAGAAGAGGAGCTAACTGAGAGAAGAGGAGCTAACTGAGAGAAGAGGAGCTAACTGAGGGGAAGAGGAGCTAACTGAGAGAAGAGGAGCTGACTGAGAGAAGAGGAGCTAACTGAGAGAAGAGGAGCTAACTGAGAGAAGAGGAGCTAACTGAGGGGAAGAGGAGCTGACTGAGAGAAGAGGAGCTGACTGAGGAGAAGAGGAGCTGACTGAGGGGAAGAGGAGCTAGCTGAGGAGAACAAGCTGGAGATCAGGGGATGGGGTGGGAGGTGGAGGAGTGCAAAGTGTAGTGGGGACTATGACCAGAATCTGCAAAACCCCTGGGATATACACACACCTATTTATCTATCCATCCATCTATCTATCCATCCATCCATCATCAATCTATTATCTATCTATCAATCATCTATTATCTCTCTATCATCTATCTGTCCATCATCAATCAATCTATCTATCTCTATCATCTATCTATCTAATCTATCAATCATCTATCTATCTATCATCTATCTTACCTATCTATCTATCTATCTTAGAGGCAGGGTCTCTCTGTCTAGCCCTGGATGTCCTGGAACTTGTTCTGTAGATCAGGCTGGCCTAAAACACACAGAAATTGTCTGCCTCCATCTCCCAAGTGCTAGGATTAAAGATGTGAGCCACCATCGCCTAACTATATACATATACAATATAGTAATATATAGTGTGCTGCCGCCACCTGACATATATCTGTATATAATAGTGTGTGTATATATAGTACACCATCACTGCCCGACTATATATACACGAAGCATTTATTTTATGCGTGAGTGTTTTGCCTGCATGTGTCTGTGTACCGCGTGCGCGCAGAGGCCAGAAGAGGGCGATGGCCGCCTTGGAACTGGAGACGCAGATGGGTGTGGCCCATATGTGTGTGCTGGGAACTGGGACTGGACGCACACTAAGAGCAGCTGGAGCTCCTAACGGCCAAGCCACTCTGAGGGCATCGGATGCATCCAGTGGACTGTCGGTTTGTTTTACAATGCTTTTTAAGATGCGTGTGCTGAGCCGGGCGTTGGTGGCGCACGCCTTTAATCCCAGCGCTCGGGAGGCAGAGGCAGGCAGATCTCTGTGAGTTTGAGGCCATCCTGGTCTACAGAGCGAGTTCCAGGACAGCCTCCAAAACAATACAGAGAAACCCTGTCTCGAGAAACCCTGTCTCCAAACACCAAAAAAAAAAAAAAAAAAAAAAAAAGCTGTCAGATCCCCTGGAGCTGGGCCTACGAGAGGCTGCGCTGCAGCAAACCTTCTGAGCCGTGAAACCGTCTTTCCAGACCCACTGGGTCCCGCGCTCTTAAAGCCAACCTCAAACTCAGTATCGGAGCAGAGGACGGCCTCCAACTTCTGATTCTCCTGCCTGTGCTCCTCAAGTGCTGGGACTACAGGCGTGTGCCACCACACCCAGCATGTCTGGAAGCAAGGATCAAGGCCAGGGCCTCCTGCCTGCTGGACAGGTACTCTGCCAGCTGAGCTACATGGGCATTCCCAGCCCTCCCGTGGTTCCCCTTTTCCTCTCCTGGAGCACTCTGGGCCTCGGCGTCTCACTTAAAGTGAGAGATGAAAAAATAAAAGAGCCACAGAGCTGAGTCTGTGTTTGTTACTCTAAGTATGCTGCATATTGTGGACATCAACACACCTGCTCCTACCCTCAGGTAGGACAAGCAGAGTGTACACTTCTTAGTCGTGGAAGCAGGCACGGTGGGTTTCTAAGCAGCTTGCCCAGAGTCCCATAGTGGTAAGTGACAGAGTTTGGACCCCAAGTCAGGCAGCCTGGCTCCAGAGCCCATAGCTCCAGTGCTCATCCAGATGCAGTTTCACTCAGTACAGCGCTATACATGGCGGCTGGGAGTACATCCTAACTAAACGGAACCCATGAGCCAGGCTTCATTCCAGGGACTCCATCAGTCCCGGTCTGTCACCCACACCCTCCCGTTCTGAAGCTGGTGTCCTGGAGCCTGAGGCAGAGACCTGTAGAAGGCCGTTACTGGAGGGGACCCCAAGATGATGCGTAGTCATAGGTGGGCGAAAGGAGGCTGAGCAGAGCCACACAGATGATCGTTGACCTATGGGGTTTCCGGGCCCCCAGTCCTGTGACCGAGTGACTTTCTCAACCAGAGGTCTCACTCGCTGCCTTTGCCCCACATCTGATGAAACGCACCCTTACTGAGGGAGTACTGTGGCTTAAAGGGCAGGCTGTCTGTAGCCAAAGCCACACACCCAGGCTGTGCATAAGAAGCCTCCTCCCTGGGCCTGGCTCAAATGAGCTTTCCAGAGAGGCCATCCAAGGCCCTGTTGGCCTATCTCCTCACAGGACAGGGTCTCCCAGAGGACCTTTGGACACCTGGCTCAGCAGCTCAGAAAGGAGACCAGGAGACAAGCGCAGTCCCCGGGCAGAAGACCCTGGGCACCTAAGGGAAGGTCCCCAAACTACCATACCCCCACTCTTTTTTTTTTTTTTTTTGGTTTTTTGAGACAGGGTTTCTCTGTATTGTTTTGGAGGCTGTCCTGGAACTCACTCTGTAGACCAGGCTGTCCTCGAACTCACAGAGATCCGCCCATACCCCCACTCTTAAAAGATTCATTTCTATTTCCTTTTTTTTTAACAATTTGTTTTTAGAGTTTTAATTTTATTTTATGTGTGTCAGCGTTTGTCTGTGTACTGCATGTGTGCCGTTCCCAAGGGGACCAGAAGAGGAATCCAACCCCATAGGACTGAGTTGTGACAGTTGGGCACCATGTGGTGCTAGGAATCGAACCTCAGTCCTTCTGGAAGAGCAGCCGGTGCTGTTAACTGCAGACTGCTGAGTCAGCTCGCCAGCCCCCCACACTCCCCCACAAACTCACACTCATACACACACACACACACACACACACACACACCCTTTAAAGGAGAAGGGAGCTCGGTGGGTAAGATCTCTCGCTGAGCGTTTCCAGCACCCTGTCTGGCAGCTCATAACTGCCTGTTAACTCCTGCTCCAGGGGATCTGAAACCCTCTTCTGGACTCTGTGGGTACTGCACTCTGTATGCACAGCCTCATAAAAACACACATAAATCAATTATAGAAAAGAACGGACTTCTGGCCAGGCAGTGGTGGCGCACACCTTTAATCCCAGCACTCAGAAAGCAGAGACGGGAGGGTCTCTGTAAGTTTGAGAGCAGCCTGGTCTACAGAGTGAGTTCTACGATAGCCAGGGCTACACAAAGAAACCCTGTCTTGAAAAACAACATAAATAAACAAATAAGAACAAGGGATAAAAGAGAACTTCTGACACACAGATGTGGTCTTCTCCAGGAATTAGGGACATGAAGCTGGGTTAGAACCCCAGCCCTCTACTTCCAGGCTACGTGGTTTTCAACAATTTCCTTAACTTCTCTCAGTCGCTGTAACAAAGGCAGCGATCCCTACCCTGATGCAAAGACACATTCGATGCTGTTCTATGCTGTCAGCTGTTGTAGCAGCCAGGCTTTATGACAGCCTGGCTGCGGCACAGCACGTGAATATTATAATTAATACAGTGTTGTGTCCTCACTCTTGTCAGAGGCACAATTCGTGCCCCGGGAAGACTAGGTTCCACACATCACACGCCACATGCATCTCCAGGTGCGGGCCCTCATTGCCCTGACTCCCACAGCAGCTAACAGGTGACTCCATTCCTAGTCTCTCCTTTTACGGCACAGAGTCTGGCTGTACCCCAAGACAGGGAAACTTCTGGAAGCTCTGAGAATCTGAACTCCCCTGTCCCCCTCCCACTAGAGGAGGCCAACTCAATTTCCACTGTCATTTCTATGGCAGCCCCAAGCTGGGCCCCAAGTGTCCCCTGCCCTCCATCCCCAGGACAAAGGCTCAACCTGGCTTTCATGCCAACTGCGGTTGGGGAAACCCCTGTTGCCTGCAAAAACCAACTTGACTTTGAAAAGGAAGAGACAGAAGCCAGAGGGAATGGTGGCTGGGCCACTCCCTGTGGGGGCAGGTGCTAAGTAACTCTATAAACCCTGGCTAACGATGCAATTACAGCCATAAACAGAGCCCAGGAGGGATCAGGGCCAGAAGCCAGACCCTCAAAGGGCAGCCGGGCGAGAGGGTAGGTCCCCTCCCACCTACTTCCCAGCATCCAGGAAATGGGGTGGGGGCGGGTGGGGGCTCACTGGAGACAGGCTGGGCAGGCACTGAAACCCCCCAGTGGTACTTGCATGAACCCCTGCCTTCCCTGGCCCACTCCCTGCCCACCTCCGACTGAGTCACCAGGCCATCAGCCCTAAATGCACAGTTGGCTCTCTGTGGATTCAACGTTCACCTCAGATGTCCCTTGCCTCATTCCACGGGGCCTGGAGCCAAGAGACCTGGGTCTCCCTCTAGCTCCTCCTCCTAGGTGGACAGAGAATTAGCATCAGATGTAAAGTATAAGCAATACCGGCCCCTCTCACACAGGAGAAACCCAAAACAGACCTGCCCCTCAACACACGCTCGCTCTGATTCTCAGCCCTCCTATACCGAGGAGGCAAGCCAAACGAAGAGAACCAAAAGAGCCGAGGGAAACTGAGGCACAGGGAAAGCTCCAGAGGCAGCAACCGTTCCCGGTCTACTGCCTCGCCTGGGGTTACTATGGCTGGCTCCCTCTCCAGACTGGGTGCTCCCCTGCCGGAGGGCAGAGCCTGGAGAATGGCGACCGGCTCCCCGGCGGGCCACCAAACAGACGCGAAGGGAACGGGCTACCGAGCCTGGCCCCCGCGTTCGGATCTGCCTGCCAGCATCTGCACCTGGCCGCCCTAGAGGAAACTGGAGATCAGCCCCCACCCCACCCCCCAACAGTGCCTGGTCTGGGCCAGCGAAACCCGGGCCAGGGAGGGTGTAGGGGCCTCAGCCCACGTCCTAGAGGCTCCCCTTCCCTGCTGCAGCAAGCGGCCCCTCCCTCAGTCGGGGTCCGGGAAGGTGGAGCCCACACTGCCCCCAGTGAACAGAGCGCTCAAGTTTAGTCCCGCAACTGTCACACTGAGGAGTCCTCGGCAGGACGAGCGAAAGCTGACGCAGGTTGGGGAAGGGCGCCGCGGTGAGGGGCAGGCGCAGAATGGAGGGCGGGGGCCGGGGGAGCACTGGTGCAGGCCAGCCCCACCCGGACGGGCGCCCTCCCTTCCTCCCCAGGGCTCCGGGCTGGGGCGCGCCAGGCGGCTGCGGCGCGAACCTGCTCGCGCAGCCCGGAGCAGCTCCGGGCAGCGGCGCGTGAAGCCAGAACCCAGAGCGCGGCGGGGGCCGAGGGGGCGGGGACCCAGGTGGCATCCGCCAGCTCCCTTCCAGGAGCCGCTGGGCGGAAGAGGCGACGGGGTCCAGAGTTGGGGGTGGGGGAGACGAAGGCACCGACTTGGCGGGGCGGGCTAGCCTGGGGTTGGACGGCGCAGACTGAAGCGGGTAGACAGGGGAAAGGGGGCGTATTTTCCGGGCTTGGGGACCAAGAGGGTGGCTCAGGGAGGAGGGCAGACGACTGGGAGCTCCAGGAAGCCGAAATCAAGACGCACAGAGGGTGCGACCCGAGTCGGGGCTCCCTAGGGTGGTGGGGTAATGCAAGAGAAGTTTGCCGGGGACTCCAGGGTCTGAAATAAAGGGTGTCTTCTGCAAGAGACCCAGGAGGGAGAGAGGCACCGGGGGAGGGAGGGATGGGACGTCCACACCACCCCCGGACACAGCAGCCCAGCCCACGGGGCGTGGCGCCTCTCCGGCCCTCCCACTCCCCCGCGACCATCCAGGCTGGGCAAGGCCCCGCCGGCCTTGGGGCTCGCACACCTCCCGAGGCCTCGGACTCCCTCCCCCCGAGCCCCCCGCCCCCGCCGTATCGGGGGAGGGGGAGCGAGCTCAGGGCCCGAGCGTCCCTCAAAACTTCTTACAAGTTCACTCCTGCGCCTCCCTCCCTAGCTCCGCTCAGCTTCCCCGGGGCCAGGAAGGCCCGTGCCCGCCCCGGCCACTCCCGCCCCGGTTACATAAGGTCGCCGGGAGGCGGCCCCCTACCCGGCCCGAAGGGAGGGGCCCGAGGGGCTCCCCGGCTGACAAGCTGCACCGCTCGGGCCACGCGCCGGGTACCCAGGGCTGCACCGGCTGCGGGTGGGTGGGTGGTGGTGCGGTGCACCCTGCCCTGCTCGAGTCTGTACCCCCATCCGCCCACCCCACCTGTCTTGGGCACCCGCGGGATGGAAAGTGCGGAGCTGGCGTCCCCCAGCCCCCCGTGCACCCCGTGCCCCCTAGTCCCGCTCACCTCGCTTTGAAGGTCAATCTGTCCGCCGCCGGCGCCCTGTGGTTCCGGCAACTTGTCCAAGTTCGGGTGCCCGGTGCCCGATCTTCACCCGCCGCCCGCCGTCGGGCTCCTCGGGCTACGCGCCACCAGCCAGGCCCGCCCCGTCCGCCCTTCCCGCCGCCGTCGGCGCCGTCGCCGTTCTCTGCGTCCCGCCCGCAGCTGCCGCCTCCGCTGTCACCTAGCCCCGCGCCCGGCGCTCGGGCTTCGGCTGTCACTCCGCGCCCACTTCCCGCTGCGCCCGGCAGAGGGCAGCACCCGCCCCCTGCGGACCGCCCCCGGAGGCCTACCGCAGCGCCCGCTGGGAAACGTAGTCCCTGCCGCAGCCATGCGCGGCTCGCCGGGATTTGCAGTTCTATGTACCCTCCTGCTGGCCGAGCTTCCCAGAGAGTCGACTTTTGACTTTAAACATTTGTTCCCTTTTTCCCTTTTCAGATTTTCTTTCTCTTCTTTATCAGTGATGTCCGAGCTAGGACCTACTACATTATGGCATCTTGTGAAAGGACCTATACCAAGCTACTTTTCCAGGACGGTGACAAAGATATAGGGTCCCAGGTGGTTCCTCCTGGTGTGTGGCAAGGGTGGTGCATTGGGAGACACTCTCAGAATTTCCAGAGACCTATGGAGTTGCCTTATCCTTTAGGAAACGCCACTTGGGGAGACCTTTGACTTCTTTGTTAAATAATTAATAATAATAATTGTTATTCTATTACTATTATTTCAGGACAAGCCAGTATGAAGCAGAACTGTAGTTTATTTTTAAATATATGTAATATATATATATATATAGAGAGAGAGAGAGAGAGAGAGAGAGAGAGTTTGTTGACAGGGTTTCTCTGCACCACCACTGCCTGACTTAAAGATATATTTTTAAATATATATCTAAAATGCAAAGGATAAGAGAAACGGGCAAGCTGGGCGATGGTGGTGCACGCCTTTAATCCCAGCACTTGGAGGGCAGAGGCAGGTGGATCTCTGTGAGTTCGAGGCCAGCCTGATCTACAGAGTGAGTTCCAGGACAGCCAAGGGCTGTTACATAGAGAGAAACTCTGTTGAGAGAGGGGAGGAAAGGGGGGAGAGAAGGGGAGGAGGCAGAGAGAGACAGAGACTCAGGGAAAGAATAGGCCTACCAGAGAAACTGGGTGTGGGTTTATCATTGTCTTTTAGATAGCCAGATGTCTTGTTTGGTGAGTTGAAGCTATCTCTGGAGGACTGCTGAGAAACTTAAATAAGATCACAGGATGTTTCCTGAGGTGTGCCTGATAGTGTTGTAATTGACCAGGTAAAAGATCATAAAGGAAGCTAGGGTATTTTAACACAAAACATTCTTATTTGTGGGTTCCTGGACAGTGTCTGGGGGAGAGTTGAGGACCTACTCCAGGGCATACATGCTCAGGCCTTAATCTTGGTTTATTGCTATTTTTTACCATTGTTTTGTTATGTTGAAACAGGGACTCACCAAATAGCCCTAAGTGGCCCAGAGTTCACTAGCACATGCTGCTGCTCTCTGACTCACAGAGCTCTGCCTGCCTCTGCTTTCCCAGACTGCGTCACCACTCCAGGCTTGTTTTTTGTTTCTAGCTCTTAATGAAAGAAATGGTCTTTGTGTTGACAGTCCTCAGGAAATGTTTGTTGTGCTAGAAGTCATGATCTCGGCTGACAGACTTCATCCAGGCTGCAGAATACGGGGGCTCCTCTCCTCTTAAGTCCCATAAGTCCCCTGTCCATCCTGTCTCAGTTTGGGGTGGGTTGCATGCCCTTTTGTCCCTGCCCGGAAGTATAAGTGGCAAAGTTGGAACAGCAGCATCACCACCACCATTTTCCTGCTCAGACATTTCCCAGCCTCTTTTACGTCTCCTCCTCCAACCGGAAGCCAAGGGCACTGAGATAGCGTTCTTAGCCTTTTCTCCCCGTTTTTCTTTACTCCTGCTCCTGCATCTCCTTGTCTCCACACCTCCCGCCCCCTCCTTCCCCTCCGTTCCTCTCTTCCTCCACCTCACCCTTCAGTTTCTCCCTCTCCTTCTAGTCCTCCCCTGCTGCCCATCATGTGACCCCCCCCACGTTTCTGGAACTTTCCAAAAACTCCTAAGGAAGCGCAAGAATGAAGTCTAGAGCGACAGACATCCCATTGAGCTGGTCAGAGAAAGCTAGGGAAAGAGCTGGGCCCTCCTCTTCATAGCCAAGGGACAGCCCTCCCTCCTTCAAAGTCCTACGATGCAGGCTGGATAAAAGTATATTTACTCTAACTCAGCCTCAGCCTTCTGCAGCCTTCCTAGAAATAAGCATCTTGCTTCCTCAAAGATCTACAACTGTTAGAAACAAACACAGGTACAGCATCCTTCAGAAAATTCTAGTCAAGACTGATTCAAAGTTGAAGAGACAACCCTTAGCTCTGTGTGGTGTCAGACCTCAGACACGCTGCTACTGGACATTCCTGTGACCCTGAGGTCAGTGGGGAAGCCTGGGAATGTGGTTCGACAGAGCATTTTCTGTTTGTCTATCACGTACAAGTCTTCTCTTCAGAGGGAATCTGTGAAGCGACTCTAAACTCCCAAGGGTGCGGGTATCTCCAAGCCTGCTTCACTTAGTGTCTCAAGGACCCACCGAGCAACCCGGTGGCCACTGAGGTCCGTCAAAGTGGAACTAGCCCGACTCCTGCTCCCACAGTCCCTGAGATCCAGGAGTCTGACGAGTCACAGCTTTGCCCAGGCGCCCCCCTCCCGCCCCACACACCCCACATACAAACGACCCAACAGGCTGGTCAATGTGGAGAACTATTTATTATCAGAGGAAGTCTAGGGTACAGAGTAAGGGAAGGCTGGGTGCAGAGAGGAAGGACAGAGGGGACCCCTCCGAAGCGGGGGAAGGGCGCGGGCGTGTCCAGACAGCAAATCTAGACAGCAGTGGCAAAGCCCACCCTGTTATTGCCCATGTCGAAGATGGCATAGTAAGACCTGAGGAAGACATCCCCAAGGATCCACATGGGCTGGCCATCCTCAGAGGTCAGAGGGGAGGACTCAAGGCCCACCATGCAGATGCCATCCTCCTGTTTAAAGGAGAGACAGCATTCACTTGTTTGTTCATGGGTGGACTGAACTTCAGCCCTTGGATGACACAGAGACCGTCCAAAGGGCTCCTAGGACAGCTGACCCTCCATAGCAAGGACTGCTGGGGCTTGGGGAGAGGGGGTGCTGCTTCCCCCACAGCTGGCCCCAGGTCACAATGGTTGTACAGAGTGGAGGGCATCTTCCTCCACAGACTACGCCCGCCCCACCCCACCCCACCCACTCCCGGCCTGCAGCAGGGCAGCCTGGCAGTTAAGCCTCAAGAACTGACCAACTTGGATTGAAACCTTAGCGTAACTTTTCTGGGCCACTCTAAACCCAGGCAGCCCTGCCCACAGGAACCAGGCCTTACCTCGAGGATGTAGAAAGAGGGTGACAGAGGGAACTGGACGCCGTTGAGGACAAAGTAGAAGGTAGGCAGGCTACTGACGCTGTCACAGCTCACAAAATACTGCAGAGGGGAACACGGCCCAGGCCAGTACGTCCCCGTCAGAACAGTGCCCATCACCCTGTACCGCAGCACACTGCACCCTAGGCCCACACCCCAGTCTGCTCTGGGGGGTCACAGTGCCAAGGGAGCCCTGACTCACATATTCTTAGCATTCAGCATAGATGGGTAGGGATTTGAGGAGCCCACCACGCCTAAGCTTTGCTCCTGACTGAATTTCTGCTCTGAGAGAGACTGAATTGTCGCCCTTCTTCTGCGAGGGCCCTTTAACATACAGATCTGTAGAACCCCTCCCTCCATGGCTTCAGCGGACAAACTCTCTACTGGCCTTAGGATGGAGGTGAGGGGTCTGTAGATTACAGGGCTGCCCCTTGTCACTCATTTGCTTGGCCACAACTTCTAGACAATGTTTAACCCAAGGTGACTGCAGCTCAGAAGAGAGTCTCGCTTTGCCGTGCTCCCTGAGCTCCAACCTCCAGGTCCCCACTCTGCCAGGGCCACTAGCCACCTACCCCACTGCCCTCTGCAGCTAAAAGCCTGGAGGCCAAGAATTGAGCTAGCTGTGTAAGGCCACACGCACACTCCCGCCACCCCACAGGAGGACCTTCCCCGAGGAAGGGGGAGCACTTCCTTCAGCACCCACCTCTCCGTACTCATCTTCCTGGGCGCCTATGATCTCCAGAAGGTCACTCAGGTACTGAGAGGGCATGGTGAGCAGAGAGGTGCCTGTGTCTACAATGCCTTGGCAGCCCTGGGAGCACCAGCCGGAGGCCTGGTCATCAATGAGGAACCTGAAGGGAAGAGAGTAGTAGTCTCAGTCCCCACCTCTTCAAGGCAGCCAGGGGCCTTTCCACAGGTGGCCGCATACAGAGAAGCAGCTCTTGAGGAAGGCCAGGGGACCCCACTTCACATCACCCTAGAGTCTACTCAAAGCCGTTGAATGGCCACTAAATCTACTTCCAAACTCTCATGGGAGACTGTAGACACACTGAAAGCCAGAGCCACTGGTTGTCCCAAGGACTCCGAAGCACCCTCGGCTTCTAACCACTGGCGTTGGGCTACAGGGGACCTCATGTCTGAGGCTGTATGTGCTGGCCCTCCTGGGATAGCCTCCAACCCCTCTTCTCCAGATTTAGCTGGACACTGACGCTCCTGCATAGGTCAGTGGTGACTTTTGGGGAGGCATATCTTAGAGGCCCCTCCCACTCATCCCCATCAGCAGTGCCTGGATGGATGGACAGATGGATGGATGGATGGATGGACAGGCAGACGGGTGGGTGGATGGGTGGGTGGATGGGTGGGTGGGTGCTGTCTTGAGGTACAAGCGAAGAAGGCTACGCTCCCCAAGGTCCCAGCACAAACTCACTCATCGATGTCAATCTGCCAGTAGAGCTCCTGGGTGACAGGAATCCAGGTGATCTCCCCAGTGTACAAGTTCTCATCCACACCTCCGAAAACGATCTGTCCACCGTCTGATCCCTGCTGACTATGGAAGAAAAAGGAAGGATAAGGAGGGAACAGCAAAAGTCTTCCCGTGGTGAGCTAGCCATCTTCAGAGAAGAGCTCCTGCCCTCACTTCCCACTGAGGCTTCCTGAGGACAGTCCAGGCCTCCGTCAGACTGGGGCTCCCTGAAGATGGGATGTGTTTCCTTCAGATGGGCTCCCTGTCTGGGCCTCTCAAAATTCCCAGTGCTTCAGACTCTGGAGTGATGCTGTCCCATAGAGTCCCAGCCCCTGAGGGTCAGCTACTGTGTGTGTCTGTGTGTGTGTGTGTGTGTGTGTGTGCGCGCTCGCGCGCGCGCGTCCCCTGCTACGGCTGTCTTCTGCCTTTTACATCATGCCAGTTGGTGAAGCCTGTCACCAGGAGGCCACACAAGCCCTGTTAACTTTTCTCTTAGAACTGAGAAGCGGGGAATCAATGATGGAGGAGGAGATTTTGCACGGTGTTCAGTGGCCCTCCTGACAAACAGCAGAGTGCAGGGAAGGGTGGAGCTCCCAAAGGGGACATGTAATGTGACCAGAAACAGAAGCAAAATTAAGCGGGCAGAGTTGGTGACAGAGGTGCCATGTCAGACACAGGCCCTGAAGCCACAGTGAGTCTATGGACACTCTCTGGAAGGTGGCTACCTCTGAAGGGGGGGAAAAAAAAGAGGCCCAGACGGCGCCTGTGCATGTTTGCTGGAAGGATAACAGGTCAGAAGTCAGTCCTGGGCCAAGCCCCACAGACTCCAGCACCAGTTGGAACACCAGATCAGAGATGGAGCAAGAGATTACTACACAGAGGAGATAAAGAGGAACGGGACCTCGGTGGGGCGGGCACAGGGGGCAGACCCAGGAAGCCCGAGAGTGAAAGCCACTCCAGAATGAGCCTGTCACGGCCGGGGAGCGCAAAGTACAGTTGCATGGGCTCCGCAAGGAAAGATGCTGGCGGCCAGGCTGACAAGCAGAGTCCGCCTTTGGGGGCCCACGTGGCAAACGTTGGGAACTGACTCCTGCAAGCTGTCCTTTGACCTCTACAAGCTCACTGTGGTATGTGGCCCGACCCCTGCTCTAATACAAATAAATAAACGTTGAAAAAAATAGGAATGGACAGGAAACAGATATGGGGTGGGGAGTGCAGCATTCCGGAGCTGGAGAGGAAGGCTCTGGGACGGGCGTGGCTGACGCGCCCAGCCCACAAACTCTAGAACCACAGTTCTAGAACCACAGTGGGAAGACGGAGAGATTGCTAATGGTTGCTTACCTGCCGAGGTAGACACCGAAGAGGGGCTGGGAGAGAGCGCCCTCCTGCAACAAGCCCTGCATTGCGGTGGTGGCGCCACCTGCAGACAGGCCGGGGTAGGCCAGGCCCATGATGCCGTCGAAATCGGCATAGACAAAATTGGTACCTGGCTCATTCTCACTCAGGCCAAACTCCTGGTTGGGGACCTTAATGCCTTGGACCTAGAGTGGAAGTTAAAATAGAGGGTTAGTGACACACCGAACTGGACCTACCTCTGTCCCCCAGGCCCCTCTCCCCAGAGACCACTCTTGCTCATCTCTCCCCACCTCAACTGCCCGCCGGCCGGCTTCCCCAGCTCCTGACACAGACTGGCCCTCAGTAAGTGTCAGCGTTGTGAACGGATGAGCTCTGTGCTGACTTCCCATCCTACTTTCCCTCACATCCCAGGGGCTTTGTTTACAATCCCTGTCTTCCTCCCACCCCGACCCAGGAGCAGGGAACCGCACTCACAGTCAGAGTGTCATAGCCGAAGAAGCCAGTAAGGCTGCCGGTGCCGTACTGCAGGGAGAAGGTCTGCCCATCGGTGTAGTAGGTGGAGGACTTGCTGGGGTTGTATCGGGTGTGCGTGGCTGCAGGGGCGGCAGGACATGGAGGTCAGGCAGTCGAGGGGAGGGCTTCCTCCTCAGGCTGTGCTTGAACCTGGGGTTTCAGCGCCCCCCACTCACAACAGCAAGTCAAGGGGTGAGCAGCTGAGGCTCCCAGCATTCTTGCCCATGACCTGAAGGCCCCACGACTTATACAGTAAGCTCTGGAACTATGGCCTCTGTGAGCCAGGTTGGCTAGACTTTAGCTCTGTATCCTAGGTCCCAGAAAAGCCATAGAATGGACTGACTACTTATCCCCCTTAGGAGCGAATAGGCCTCCTAAGCAGGCCTTCAACCCACAGCCTCCACCCCTTCACGAAGTTGGTCAGACCAAGATCTGAGGTAGCATGAGATATAACCAAAGAGTGACTCCTGGGACCAGAGAAAATAGGATCCCAACGCTCTGATGGGGCCAAAACAGTATTACAAAATGCGTGCCCAAATTCCACCTGTCTGCCCAAACTAAGGCAGGGCCAGAGTACATCCAGATCGCTCCAGGCCATTCTTTAGACACTCTTAACGCAAACTGGATGTGTAGTGAGATCGGGTGGGGTGGATAGAGGCCGAATTGGCTGCGGTGAAGCCGAGTGGAGGTTACCCACAAGCAAAGGGATGGCATTGTCCTGGTCATCGGGGTGGGTGGAATGGGAAAAAACTGGGCGGATGAGACGGACTGCCATAGATGACGGTATAAACTGCTTAGCAGGAAAGGCACAAGAGCCACCCGGCTGTGAGGCCAGCTTCATTGACAAGGCTTGATATGACACCACCATCTTCTCCAGGAATGAATCCCCCCCTCCCGCATCCCTAGGGAGGGGCCTGTGGCCTCCACCGCCCATCCGGCACTCACTGCAGGCCTCGCTCTGGCAGTAGATGGAAGGCACCCACAGGTTGGAGGAGCCAGTGTCGAAGAGGACCAGGAAGTTCTGGGGTGGAGTCCCAATGCTGATCTCACCAAAGTAGGCAGCCTAATTGGGGGGCGGGGTCACAGAGTAGACTGTTTAGCTCCAAGGGATTCAGGGGCTCCGCAGCTCCAAAGGGAAGCAGGAAAGGAGCCAGCTGCTGCCCTCCAGACCGTGCCAAAGCCAGTGGCCCTAGTCTTCCCTCGAAACCTGCCCCAAGCCCAAGGGTGCTCAGTCCACGCTGCCCAGGGCCGCCCCCAAGCTCTCTGTGGGCTCAGCTGCAAGGTCAGTCAGAGCTGCCCATGCAGACTGGAAGAAGGGAGTGCCCCCCAGAGTGGGGAGACAGGGAGCCCTCAGGCAGCAGGGACAGTGACACCATGGAGGTGTGTGGGGTTAAGACTTACATCCATGTAGGCTATGGGCTCATAGAGGACACTGAAGTCACCGAAGTTGCCAAAGCGGTACTTCTGGCCAGGGTCGTACTTGTGGGCTTTCAGAAAGTCTTTGAGCACACCCTTTTCTTTCATGGTCTGACGGATAGTCTTCATTTTCTTCAGGGGGACCCTGGAGAAGGCTGTGTCAGCTCCGGCCATCCCCTCCCTCCTCCTTCCTTTCTCCTTCTCTGTCTCTCCTCTGTCTGCCCCGCCCCTGTCTCCTGAGCCTCCGACCCTCTGCTGCGCTACCCCACATGCCCATTGTTCGCATCTGTCTGTCCCCCAACTCTCTGCCTTGATTCTTTCCAGCAATTTTTAAATTTTTTCTTTTTTTAAAATTTAAGTTAGAAACAAGCTTGTTTCACATGTCAATCCCAACTACCTCTCCCTCCCCTCCTCCCCCGCCCTCCCCACCAGGCCCCCCATTCCCCCACCCAATCTCCACTCAGATCTCCAGGGAGGGTGAAGCCCTTCATGGAGAATCTCCAGAGTCTGTCATTTCATGTAGGGCAGGGCCTAGGCCCTCCCCCAAGAGTCCAGGCTGAGAGAGCCTCCCTCATTGTGGCATGGGCACTCAAAGTCCATTTGTATGCCAGGGATAAATACTATCCAAGGCCCCATAGATTACCTAGGCCTCCTCACTGACACCCACATTCAGGGGGTCTGAGTCAGTCCCATGCTTTCTTTCCAGCAATTTCTCCCTTTGTGTTTTTCTTCTCCTTTCCTATTGCTCTCAAACTGTTCCTTAATACTTGCTCTGAGATTTAGAAATTAATCCACTTCAGCCACCCACCCCCGCTCCACATGGAAGAACCCTGCTGCCCAGGCCCCCTGCTCTGATGTGCGTAATTCCTTCCTAAGAAGGGGAGGGTGGCTTGGAGAATTACCCTGGTCAGAATCAGTGTTTATGCTTTTGAGTTAGGGTCTCAGGCTGGCCTCAAACTTAAAGCCTATTGAACAGTGGCCTTTAACCTCTGACCCTTCTGCCTCTACCTCCCAAGCAGATGCTGCCACACCCTGGTTATAGAGTGATGGGGATCCAAGCCAGGGCATCATCCAAGCTGGGAAAGTGCGCTACCAACTGAGCCACCTCCCCGCCCACACTGGTGTGTTTTTCTAAAGCGACTGAAGAAAGCAGTTTATCTCCAAGGCTCCTTCCCTACGGCTACCTTCCGACACCAAGCGCTGACTGATGTGTCACAGCGTGGAGTAAGGGGAACGGCACTAATTCCCCCTTCCTACAGCCAAGGGACATCACTGTGCCTCCCTAGACGGTCCATGGGGGACACGGCGTGGGAGTTCCGGAGTTAGACCTTAGGAGTCATGGCTTCTGCCCATGCCACCATAAGCATGGTCTAAGAGCGGCTGGCTGCCGTTCCCCGGGGGCCTCTGCAGATGCACTGCTTGCTCTGCAACCCAGAATTCCCTTTTCTTTTACTTCTCTCCCCATGTTAAATCCTCAGCTTCTTAGGACTCTGTGTTTCAGGCTTTCTCAGCTAACTCCCTTCACAAGAGCCACACCAACCACCTCTATTGAGTTTGCTTGCATCACAGAACTTTCTGGGAGGAGTGACTTTTCACCCAAGAAACTACCAGGTAGCAGGTCTGTAAGATGGCTCTACAGGTAAAGGCACTTGCTGCCAAGCCTGCCGACCTGAGTTTAGTTCCCAGACCTATATGACAGACGGCGAGCACTGACTTCTATAATCTTCTTCTGGCCTCCACAGGTTTTCAGTGGTGCAGTACACTCACACGCCCCCCCACCCCCCGTGCACAAAATGAATCCAGTAATAATCTAAAAAAAGAAAGTATGAGGCACCAAATCCACAGATACTCAAGTCCATGGACATCATTTATAACCTGTGTGAATCCTCTCACTGCGTTATCTCTAGGTTACCATGAATACCCAGTAAGGGGCTGAAACATGGCTCAGTGGTTAAAAGCACTGACTGGTTTTCCAGAGGAGCAGGGTTCAATTCCCAGCACCCACAACCAGTTGTAACTCCAGTTCCAAGGGATCTGACACCCTCTTCTGGCCTCCACAGGCACCAGGCTCCTGAATTCCACTTAAGGCTCCAGTCTTACCTGACCAAAGCTGCCTCCAAGAGAGGTAGGCAGAGCAAGGCTACCACCAGCCACTTCATGATGCCGACTTGAAGCTGGCCTCACAGGAAAAACCACTTCGAGCTCAACCGTTGTGGTGGAATGAAGACCTGAGCACCACTCGCTCCTTTTATACACCCAGGAGGTAGCCCAGCCCCTGCCCCCCATCCCTAGGTAAGCATGACCCCCGGGCGGAGGTCTCCCTTGGACTCCATGTATCAATGGTCTCTGTGTGTTTTTCCTTCTGGAGCATGCCCATGTCACTTTTCATCTTATTGACTTTTAATTCAAGCAGGGAGGTAAATGTGATAAGTGGGAACAAAGTGGCCGCACCATGGAGTGGCAAAGATTACAGTTCTGGGAAGCAGAGTCATGATATGGGAATTTGGGGGCAAGGACTTGAGTGAGGGGCCGGGGACCTGATGGTTGGTTCCTCAAGCTTGGTGACATTTGGAGGGCACAATTCCTTGTTCTGGACATCGTCCTGTCCACCGAAGGGTGCTCGCAGTATCCCATTTGCCCACTAAGTGCCAGGAGCAGCGCCCCCCCACGCCCCAGTTGTAGCCACCATAATGTCTTCAGGCATTGATGGTTTCCCCTTGGGAACAAGTCCTTGAGAACTGCTGTTCTACGTACAAGTGACATACTTGGAGGTCCAACTTACGTCCTTTCTCCAAGTATCCCTTAAACCTCCTGGAGCTGCGATTCAGGATGTCTGGGGTCTAAGGGGTCTGGAACCAGACTGCTGGTTATGACCACAGTGGCAACAGTGACCGTCTGGGCAGCACTGATGCTGAGACCGGTGCTGGCGGATGAAGTCAGCATGGAGGGGTGGCTTTGGAAGCATTCTGCGTGAAGTCCTGTCCTAATTCAGGAGGACTCACTCATGGAAAAAAGTCACACAACCTCTGGCCGTAAGAACCAGAAAAGGTGCCCAGAGCAAGATGTGAGCAGAGGGGCCACAGTGACCCCTCACCGTTTCTCTTGTCTCTTCTCCCTCCCTGTTGCTACCTGGGGTCTTCATTTGGTTGGAGGCTTGGGGAGGGTTGAATCTAGGGTCTCCTATGTGCTGGTCAGCTGCCACTGAGATACACCCCAGCCCGTTTGAGGGTGTGTGCATGTGGTGTGTGCGTGTTCACCTGTGTGTGCACATGTACTCGTCCAGGCAGGCACGTGTGGAGGCCGGGGGCTGATGGGAGGGTGTCTTCTCCAATTGCTTGTCCACCTTGTTTTCTGAATTTTCAAATAAACTTCAGTGCATTCACTCTGTGTGTGAGAGAGAAGGGGGAGGGAGGGAGGGAAGGAGGGAGGAGGATGATTATGTGTCATTGCTGTGGAGTTTTTCTCTCCTTCCATTATGTGGGTCCTGGGGATTGAACTTGAGTTCTCAGGCTTGGTGGCAAGCTCCTTTACCAACTGAGACATTTTGCTGGCCCTCCACCTTACTTTTTATTATTTTACTTTAATTTTTGTTTGTTTGTTTGTTTTTCTTTTTCGAGACAGGGTTTCTCTGTGACTTTGGAGGCTGTCCTGGAACTAGCTCTTGTAGACCAGGCTGGTCTGGAACTCACAGAATTCTACCTACCTCTGCCTCCTGAGTGCTGGAATTAAAGGCTTGCGCTGTCATTGCCTGGGCCACCTTATTTTTTAAGGAGAGGTCTCTCACTGAATTCAGAGCTTGCTGCTCTATCTAGACTAAAGGCTAGTGAGTCCCTCCTCCAGTGCCAGGGTCACAGATGCCACCACACCCTGCTCTTTCTGTGGGTGATGGAGATCTAAACTCAAGTCCCCATGCTTGCACAATCTAGGCTATTTTTATTTTTAATTTTATTTTTTATTTGGAGACAAGGTCTCACACTGTAGACAAAGTTGGCTTGGAACTCACTATGTAGCCCAGGTTGGCCTGGAATTCTCAACATCTTTCTGCTTTATCTTCCCAAGTTTGGGAATTATAGGTATGAACTACTGTGCCTGGATCGTTTTATTTTTTGAGAAAGACACTTACTAAGTTGCACAGGCTAGACTTGAACTCACGCTGTAGCCTAGGCAGGCCTTGAACTTGTCATCTCTCTGCCTCAGCTCTAGGCAGGTAGGTAGGACTATAGGCCTATACCAACTAGGCCAGGCACCCCTATCTTTATGGCTTCTAAAAATCCCTCTGTCTCCCCTATTACCCTTTCCCAAGCTCTTACTCACCTCAACTAACCATGTCCTTCGACCCTCTTGCTATAACATTCCCAAGACTTGAGTTGGCTAGGCCACCAACCTGACCACCAGCAAGCTATTTGGAATGAAGGGAAAAGCCCCTGCCAGCATCGTGTCTGTCATCTTTTACCCCAGAGTCAGGGCCTGGTATAGGTTGTCACTCCCTAGCATTGGAGGCAGAGGGTTGGGACCAGATCTACGAGCCACCTGTGGCATCTATCCAGTAGGAATTTTCCATTCTGGCCACTGCTGCCCACCACCTGGCCAAAGCTCTGGAACCTGCCCAGGCCTGAGATGAGGGAGAGAAGGGGGATGGGGCACCAGGAGTCTGCCTGGGCCTGGCACAGATGGGGAGGTCTCTGCATGCTTGGGTTCCGAGGTCAGCTCAGCTCTCTTTCCCTGCAGTCTCCAGAGGGAGTAAACCGGAGGGTCCTCAGATTTGGGAGAGCAGGGAAAAGTGAGAATCCTTGGAAGCTTGCCAACCCGTGGAACGTTCTAAGTCTTGCAGGCCTGCTGAATTCCCCAACCTCATCTTTCTGAGACCTTTCCTTGCTAGCACCCCAGGAGTCCCTGCCAGTCAAACCTCTAGTCTAAGTCCCACTGCGTCTACAGAGCAGGCCAGGATAACTAACCCTGCTCAGGTGACAGGCCCCAGGGGTTCTGCAGCCCCTGTGTACCCAAACTGGTCCTCTTGACAGCTCTGCAAGTCACTTTAGGGCTCCGTGGTCTGTGCCCCCCCCCCCCGCCCTGACTCAGTGTCTAGAAAGCTCTTTTTTTTTTTTTTTTTTTTTTTTTTTGGTTTTACGAGACAGGGTTTCTCTGTATTATTTTGAAGGCTGTGGGTCCAGCCTGGCCTCGAACTCACAAAGATCTGCCTGCCTCTGCCTCCCGAGTGCTGGGATTAAAGGCATGCGCCACCACCACCCGGCAAAAGCTCATTTGTTTTAAAGTGCCGTGGATCTGCAGGCCCTAAGGACAACTCAGAAATCACCAGGGCCGTCTTCTTCCATGCGGTGTGGTGTAGATCACTGCCCCCTGGTTTTAGCCCCCACACCGCACACCCCGACAGCGCAGCCTGCCTGGCACTCCAGCTCTAGCTGTCAGAGGGGCCACCAGCTGTTTCCTGGGGTGTTTTTAAATTACACGTATTTACATATGCACGTATCGTGTGTGTGTGTTTACACGCCTGGGCACGTGTGTGCCGCAGCTTATATGTAGATGAGAGGACAACTTGCTGGGCTCAGTTCTCTCCTTCCACTCGTGGGCCCTGGGATTGAACACAGGTCATCAGGCTTGGCAACAAGCGCCTCTACCCACTGAGACATCTCACTGCCATCTTACCCCTGCCCAGTGTGCAGAGGCCAAGGGTTGCCATTGCCATGTGTCTCTCAGGCTCCAAAAATCAGGCCAATGGATGAAACCCAGCAGACTGCTTTCAGCTTAGCTTCTCCTCGTACCTCATTATCCCAGTGGCCCGGTTTCTGCCCCAAGCTCACCCTCCCTTTCTGGTCTCCACACCCTCCTTGCTTTCCCCTTAGCTGCTCTGCTGTTTTCCCTCTGGGCACCTTTCAAGGCCCAGACAAAGCCCACAGAGTCCTCCCTGTGGAGCCCACCTACTCAAACCACTGTGGAAAACTGATTTTCGTTTCCTTTTGACTTTACCCAGATTCTACAACCTCAACTCAAAGTCAAGCTTGGCGTAGTGGCGCACGCCTTTAATCCCAGTACTCAGGAGGCAGAGGCAAGCAGATCTCTGTGAGTCTGAGGCCAGCTTGTTCTATGTAGTGAGTTCCCTGTATCGAAAAACAAAACATGGGCTGGAGAGATGGCTCAGAGGTTCAGAGCACTGACTGCTCTTCCAGAGGTCCTGAGTTCAATTCCCAGCAACCACATGGTGGCTCACAACCATCTACAATTCAATCTGCTGCTCTCTTCTGGCATGTAGGCAGAACACTGTATATGTAATAAATAAATAAATCTTTAAAAAAAAAAAGAAAAACAAAACAAAAAAAGGAATGTGGCAACCATTGCTTATCCTTTACCTGTGGCCGACATCACAAGTCAATCTTGGTAGACATCACTAATCAATTGTTATTCTTTTATACACTGTTATGTGTGTAAATGCCATTGGAGGCTGGATTGGGTATTGTATCCCTTGGGCCTGAAGTTACAGGTGGTTGTGAGACACCCAGAATAAGTGCTGGGACCTGAATTTGGGTCTTCTGGAAAGAGCAGCGAGCCCTCTTAACCCTTGTACCATCTCAGGCCCCATTCACTTTATTATTTGTTTGTTTGTTTTAGATAGGCTTTCTTACTGATCCTAAAGCCCACCGCTTCATCTCTACTGGCTGACCAGCAAAATCCTGAGGCCCTCCTCTCTGCACCCCACCATCTCTGGAGCCGCAGGTCTGCACCACCAGGCCTGGCTGCTATATGGGTTCCAGGTCTCTGAACTTAGGCCTTTGTCTTAACACTAGCCTACCGAGGCATCTCCCCGACTCCCAAGTCATTTCATATAGTGTGGCTTTAGTAAATGTATTTGTTTTGTTTTTTTGTAGCTTTGATTTTTAAAATCCTGAATATGGAGTAAAAGCACTTGCTGCCAAACCTGATGAGCTGAGTTTGGTCCCCGGTATCCCACGTGGGAGAAGAAAAGGACTGCCTCCCATGAGCCCTCTTCTGACCTCTATGCATGTGCTGGGGCACACGTGTGGGAAAAACATAAACAAATCAGAGTTTAAAAAAACATTCAGAGACTGTGAAGAGAAATTAGGAATTCTAGATTTCATTTAAGATTTCACACACACACACACACATACACACACTCACACACACACTCACACACATACACACACACACACACACACACACAAATCACTTTTTATAAAAGTTAAGCTGGGCCGGGCGTTGGTGGCACACGCC